GCCAGGTTGGATGGGGTTCACTGGGCCAGTGAAATGTGTCCCTGCCCATGGCAGAGGATTTGGACTAGATGAGCTTTAAGGTCCCTGTCAACCCAAACCATTCTGTGCTTCTCTGCAGAAAGACACCAGAGCTTTATCTTTCTGAAGCAGCACAGTCTAACAGAGGGAGCAGAAGCTGTACTCAAACTGCATCACGTTTGAAATTGCTTTCTAGAGGAACAGAAGTGCAAGTGTTGGTGACTTCTCTTCATTTTTGTGCCATTGTTGTGGCATTTTTGTGCCACAAAAGAGCAGGATTTGTCATTGCACCTGAGGTTTAAAGGCAAGGCTGTCTGATAGAGTTTAGTTGATCCAACATTTCATGGCCACTGGATGGGAGCATTTTCCTTCCAAGCATCTCTGTCTCTCCTCAGGCAAGCAGATGGGCAGCATCTCCTCTGCATTGCTTCAGTCCTGTCGTGTGAGCACACTTCATGTCCTGCACTCCTGTCCTCCCCACACACACCAGTGTCAACCTCCCTCAGCTCCTACACAGCCCTCTGCTGCTGCCTTGCAGTATTAATTTGGAGGGTTAATGGGATTTTGCTAAGTTAAAACTGCTGTTTTGTCAACGGATGCAAGTCTTCTGGAGAATGGATGCATTTCTCCAGGGACTGAGGTTGCAAACTGCATGGGTAGAATGTAGCCCTATGTATTACTGAAGAAAAAGCTTCAGTGAAATAGGAAAGATGTGTGTGGTGCAGCAAATCAAACCTCCAGCTGTGTAAACAGATCAATAAACTGATTTGTGTTTGCTGACCAGAAGAAAAATCTAGTTGCAGGTACTCCATATTCACCATTTGTGGTGAAACTAGAGTAATTGGAATAATGAGAAATCCAATGTGCTTTTGTTTGGAGTTTATTCTTCTTTAGGATTCATTAAACTGGACAGGCCTCTCAAGCTTTAGGCTGGTTATGTAGCACAGTTCCTAGGCCCTCAGACTTCATAGATTTCTTCGAATTCCAACTCATCACATTTTCCATCTTTTAATAAGACTTGAAAATATTGAAGTAATATTATTCCTGGTGTTTAAAGGCTCATTTCACTCACCAGCATCTCATTTGACTGAAGTTTGAATGCATTTGGACAGCAAAATAGCTCCTGGGTTTGCTCAAATTCCAGGTTTCTGCAATTACTTACACTTGGAAGAGAAAATAATGCTCTCCTGCATGTCCTGAAGATGTATTTCCAAGTACTGTTGTGCCAGATACTTTTCATTTGAGCATCTCTAGGTAAAAAAAAAAAAAAAAGAGGATGGAGGTGCTGGCATGATTGTATTTCTGTGAGGGACCATATTCAGAAAGGTAAAAGGTTTTAGGGTGAGAGGGGAAGAAATACCCAGGAAAAACCATGAAATTGGAGTTGTGTGGATGTGTTTTCTCCCCCTGAGGGGAACAAAAGCTCTTTCAGGGTGAGTATCTTAAGTCATTTGGATTGCCAGTAACAGAAATGAAGATGGTAGTGAAGAGAGCAAATTGTCACCTACATTTACCTTCACTTTGAGGTAAAGCTGGTAAATTTAATAGCTGTATCATTAGCTTGGATGTCCCATTAGGATTGTTGGGAAGTGGAGAATGAGTCCTCTGTGAAGGAAACAGAATGGGGTGAGCTGTGGCTCCTGGGAAGAGGAGAAGGGAAGAAGGAATTGGGGGTTGATGGAGTGTAGCCAGGTAATGATGACTTTGTGATTTTAGCTGAATGAATAGCTGAAAGGGAGACATAAAAAAACCTACAGAAAATGGGTCTTTAAAAGCTTTTCAAGGCAAGCTTGGAAGAGTGGAGGCAAAGCCTCTTGTTGCCTGGGTTCCATTTGGATCTGTCCATCAGTGGAAGAGAGAGCCCAGAGCTCTGCAGCTGGAGATCCTAGTGTGAAGGGAAAGTGATGTGTTCCCACTGACATATGGCAGCACCTGGGATTAGCTGAGATTATGCCAATGAAGACTAAATCCTGCAAGTTGATTCCCCTTGCTGTTATTTAACAAATGAAGTACCTTATCCAAAGTCTGCTGGGAATCTATAGGCTTGCAATGGGATTTATATTCCCCCATGGCAGGGCAGATTCAGCTTTTTGGTTCTGTTGGTGTGAATACCATGGAGGCTGAGCTCCTCAATGGTCCATCAATCTTCAAAACAGACCAGTGTGTTCAGTTAAAATTGAGCCTTTATTGTGGTTTACCTGATTCATTTGAAAAGGATTTTTACTTTTTTTTTTTTACCTTCTTTATAAACACTTTAATGAGTCTGTGATGAGAATTTGTCCCTCTTCTCTTCTAACGAGCACCTGTTTTTTTCTTACCATTCACTGCCAAAGTACATTTCATCAGCTAAGAAAAAGCCATTTAAGGCAGCTTGTGACAAACTCATTTTATTTATATATTTTATTATAGTTATATTCTTTACAAAGCAGTAGGCAAGGTAAAGAGGAAATGGCATCGAGTTGTGCCAGGGGAGGTTTAGATGGGGTGTTAGGAAGAAGTTCTTCACTGAAGGTGTGGTCAGGCACTGGAACAGGCCGTCCAGGGCAGTGGTGGAATTACCATCCCTGGAGGGGTTCAAAAGGTGGATGTGACACTTGGGGAAATGGTTTAGTGGTGAGCACAGCAGTGCTGCGTTAATGGTTGGACTTGATGAGGTATTTTCCAACCTTAATGATTCTATGATAGAAAAGCTTGAATGTTTAGATTTTTTTTTTTTTTTTTTGGTTAATGGATTTAATTCTTGAAATGTGAAGTGCTATCTGATCTGCTGGAGAAGACCCTGCTTCCTCCTCGAGTATTTCCATTTCTATTCTGAATATATTCTGGAACATTTATAGGTTTTTATCCATGAAGCAAGTATTTTCTTTATATCAGTTAGTTAATATCATTTTTGGTCTCTTCTCTTGCACAGTTACTGGCAGTGACCATGTATCCCATTTCAGCTGAGTAAGCCAGCCTGTTTTAGTCCTTGTAAAATAAGACTGTGGTACCCTGATCCCCCTCACAGCCAGTTCCTCAGCTAAAGCTCAAGTTCACCTTTCCTGGCCATGCACTGACAGGCTGTGGGCTGGGAGCAGTGCTGTAACTCATATACCATCCTCCTTTTCATTAAAAAATCCTCCCAGGGATCTGTTCTCTTGCTGGTGCCTTGAGTCTTTTGAAAAGAAAATTGCTCTCTGTAGCAATGAATTACAAACCTCCAAAAAATCAGGACATACCTTTTTTAGACCCTCTGTGCAAGAAAAGGGCATTATTTCTGGTTCCACAGTCAGTGAACCCTGAATTTTAAAATAGCTGGGTGCTTTTCTTCCTCATCCAATGAAGAGAAGAATGGGAGACAGAATAGCAGAGTTTTGGTTTTTTAACTAGACAGGGGTGGGTCCACTCAGTTACATGTATGTCACCATTATTATATGGAAATGTTCATTGCAGAAATCTGCTCAGGCTTTTTCTTAATGCAGCTTGGGATGTGATCTCCACAGACTTGAAAAATTCAGTATTGGTAGTTTCAGGACAGGTGAGACCCCCAAAATACCCAGTGATTGCAGAAACCTGCTCTTGCCTGGCTCCATTCACCACCTGGGGTTTTCTGCTGGCCATGCTGCCTCCTCCTCTCTACTATTACAGTGGATTTTGTCACATTTTTCTTCCCAGCTTTGTCGACCTCCACAGCCCAGTCTTCACCTCATGCTGAAGGAAATGTTCTCACTTCCCACCTTAGTGCAAATACAGTATTTTGTCAGAAATAAAACAATTCAAGATTTGTGACTGTAGATGTTTGACTCATAAGTTGTTTTGGCCATTCTTGGGTGTGCTGGGAGGATATTTATTATAGGCCTAATTAGTTATTTTGGGCTTACTTCTTTAAAACTAGCATATTGTAAAACAAATTTCTTCCTCTTTCCATGGTAAACATTATTGAAAATTTCTTACATCTAACATTTCTATGTATTTAGAACATTTTATGGGGTTGTTTCCAGCTGGGCTGAGCTGCTGTACCAGAGTTAACCAGCAGCCACATCTAATTTCCATGTGGGAGTGAGACCAAGTTCTACAGCAGAAAATTCTGCCTAGTTTTGGTTCCAGGATCAGTGCAGAGGTCAGTGCTTCCTCCCTAAATGTGTGCCTTAAGATGAAGAGTCAGAAGAGCCCTGAGGGTCTGGTGTCAGAATCCATCCTCTGTGAGCTCCTGTTCCTGCAGTAAGGGCTTTGTGGGATAGGAAGCACTTGGACAGGGGAAGGTCTTCAATGACGTACAGCTACTGTGCTTCTGGTAGTAGCTGTGGGATAGGAAGCACTTGGACAGGGGAAGGTCTTCAATGACATACTGTGACATACTGAAGCTACTGTGCTTCTGGTAGTAGTTGTAGGATTTTGGAAGGTGACCTGAGAAGATGAGGGAGGAAGGAACAGGACATAGGTCTGGGAGCCTGTGTGTGTCATGGTGCAGCAACTGGAGCAAGCACAGGCGTCTGGGGGTGTGTGACTCTGGGAGCATGGAACTGGACACATGGAAAGGGCCTGGAAACTGGGGGTGTCCATGTGTGTGTGTCTAAGGACAAGGAAAAACTCCAGGAAGATCTGGGGACCAGATGGACCAGGGAAGGCCCAGCCACTGCTGGAGAGAGGGTTGGGTCTGGGGGGTGACTGAGACCCTTGAGTGTGTGCACATGGGTGTGTCAGTGTCTGCAGGCTGCAGGGTCAGCTTCTGAGTGCCTGAGCCCAGCTGCTGCAGGGATCTACTCTGCACCTGTGTACCTGCAGGTATTTCCCACTAATTCAGCCTCTTCCCCTCACGTGGAGTAGTTGTGTCTCATTCTCCTTGGGCAGATACTGCCGGTTACAGCTTGGAAGATTTGAGGATAAAAGAGAGAGGGGAAGCAGCAGAATGCCCCAAAGCACCTTGCAGACATGGGAGGAATTAATGAATCAGCAAAGCTGTGCCGGGATGTTTCATTCCAACCATCTCTTTTGTGTTTCAGCCCTGGCCCAGTGTGTCCAACCTGGCCAAGGATTTCATCGACCGCCTGCTGACGGTGGACCCCAGCGACAGGATGACGGCCCTTCAGGCCCTGAAGCACCCGTGGGTGGTCAGCATGGCAGCCTCCTCCTCCATGAAGAACCTGCACCGTTCCATCTCCCAGAACCTTCTCAAGAGGGCGTCCTCCCGCTGCCAGAGCACCAAGTCGGCGCAGTCCACCCGCTCCAGCCGCTCCACCAAGTCCAACAAGTCGCGGCGCGTGCGGGAGCGGGAGCTGCGCGAGCTCAACCTGCGCTACCAGCAGCAGTACACGGGCTGAGCGCCCGCGGGTGTGCGCGCACTCGGTGAGGAACAGCCAGGTTCCTCCCCTCCTCCCTCCAGGCGTTCCCCCCTCCCACGAGGAGGTGTCCCCCTCGCCCCGTGCGGAGGAAAGGGAACCTTGTGGTGGCCGTCCCAGCCCGCCAGCTGTGCCGCGGGGTCTCGCGCCAGAAACGGGGGAGTCCTTGTGGGCTCGGAGCCTCAAGGAATTAAGGAGCCACGTGGGGAGAAGAGCTCTTTCTGTAGCCCAGGAGCTTGGTTGTTCATAGTTATTTATTAATTCCAGAGCGCCTAGTTTCTCTCACTTGTGTATGGAAAAAAGAAGCAATCACTCGGTGTGTCTGTGCGTGCACGTCCGTGTGTGCACATACACGTGTGGGGGTGTATATGTATTTAAAAATTATGTATACACAGATTTGGAGCTGGTTTAGTCAGACTCCGTGGTGCCTTTGCAGCGAAGCTGGAATGAGTCATGTGCAGTTAGAAGTGGGATAGCTCTGACTCACTGGTGTGCTGCCCACCAGCTCCTTGCCAAAGAGATGCCAGACAGCAGTTTTCCACGAGGGCCGGGAAGCTGCGAGGTTTCCCCCAAGGGCTGCCATCCTCCTGATGACGTCAAGGGCTCACTTGCCTGATGACATCAAGGCTTTACCCCTGGAATTGTCCTTTCCTTGTTTGCAGCAAGACCAGTGCCTGTCATGCAGGGTTTGTTGTTCTTGTGGCTCCGTTGGTCTCTGTCGTGTTACACACCTTGCACCCTCCAGAAGAAGATTGAGAATGTTGAGTTTTTTTGTGCTAAGGGGAAAAAAGAGGGGAGAAGTTTTAGGGATGTGCTTCCCACCCCAGAGGTGGGATGGGCTATAACCACTGTAGGCGCAGTGTTACTGACCATGTCACTGCACCAGAATTTTGGTGGCTCCAGGCTGCTCCCTGCCTGCAGATTTGACAGGCCTCCCCTGCTTTGTGTGCCTGTGCTGCCCCAGCACTGCTATCCCTGCTTTGGGACAGTGGTGGTGGGAGCTGTTGGGGTGGCCACAAATGGCTCCATAGCACCAGGGTAGGGGCTTGAGTAGTGGAAGCCCAGTCTGGGAGTGTCAGCAGTGACAGTACTCTGGAGACATTGTACAAATGCCCTAGAGCTGTGAGGGGTGACTTAAGTTCACCAGGAAAAAGCTGCCTTTGAGGAGTCCTTGTGCTGTGTAGGTGATGAGTGGCCTGTTACAAAGGACTCTGAGGGGGCTGCAGAGCTGAGCTTTCTGCAAGCCTGCTGAGATTATCTTCCCAGCTAGTTAGAGCAGCAAAGTGGGGCTGATGGCACAGGCACAGGATGGATTTGGCTTCTCATGGTAGCAGAGACAAGATCAGCAGTGAAGGAAAATGCTGGGGTTTGAAACTTTTCTTACGAAGCCACACAGTTTGCTTTGTGCTGTGCACTTGGGAAAGGCTTGCTTGGCTCTGGGCTGGAGGTGCAGACAGTCCAGGCTCAAGAGTCTGGTGAGCTTGGCCTTTTCCTAGGATTGATGCCTGTGCCACTGTGTTTCAGTGTCAGCAGGGCTGAAGTGGTCAGTCACATCTCCAGGGAGCTCTCACAGTCACTGCTAGTCAGCAAACAGCAAAGCAGCTTTAGTGGGAGAAGATTGGAGTTTTCTGTGCTAAGGTGAAAAATGGGGGAATTCTGGGGGTGTGCTTCCCACCCCAAAGGTAGGATGGCTGTAAATACATGTAACCAGCCTGCTGTGCCCAAGCATGTGGTGGGGAATAGAGCAGAACCTTGAGGACAGCCACTGTGTGTAGCATGAGTGAATTCAAAATTCCTTTGTGTGGTTTTGCATGTTATTTTGGAAACCTCACATCCTTTGTAGGCTGCCCTTGCTCTGAGCAACCCATCCCACCATGTCACATGCAGTCTTTCTTCCATCAGCATTAACAGATACTGTAGAATTCCCCATATTTGTTTTTTTCAACTCTGTGGACTGCAAACAAAAATGTTTTCAGCATATTTTACCTCCTCACATTGTTTTTCCCTAGTTTGTTACCATGAACTATAAACTAGATGTGATTTCTGACAAAGCAGGCAGCTTGCCACGTTTTGCTTCACAGACAGTTCAGTGTCCCCCGTGGGACAGCAAACAGCTCTCCAAAAGCAGGAGCCCCTCTTAGGCCAGTGTCAGCTGGACCATGGGGGCCCTGCAGGTCCCGTGGTGGCAGGAGGCTCCCTCGGAGCACTTCTGGTTCTGAGCCATTGCTTGAAGAGCTTCGGTGTGTTTGGAGCATCACTCCAGGCACTGTGATTGCTTTTACCTCCTGGCTGCTCCCATGGCCCTCCCCCGATTATCCTGCATTTTTATCCATAAAACAGGGATTTTGCCTGTGTGAGGGGGTCAAACTGATGAACTGAGCCAAAACCTCTAGAGACCCTTCCCCATAACCACTAGACTGTCAAAATGCACAGGCATCGTGCAGCTATCTGCCCATGCTGTTCCTTTATCCTTCTCTTAGGGGATGAGGAATGCATAAAGCCCTGGGCTAACCAGGCTTGTTTCTCCACCTTCACAAAGCAGAACAAGAATCTTCTCATCTGTGACAATTTTTGCTTCACTGATCTTTTCTATAACTGTTTTTTCACCAGGGGAAGTTCGCAGCGATCATTTGTGATTACTTTGGGCTGTAATATGTTTTGAGAAGCAGGAGGTTGCTGTGCAGGTTCCTGACAGCGCCAGGTTTTGGTGGTGATGCTCTGTGACTAGGGGTGAGTTGGCAGAAGGCAGGATCCACCACATAGCTGAGAATACTGGATAGCTGGAACTGGCTCTCCATGGTATCGAGGTGTGTGCAGTCCTTGGGCGCTCCACTGCTTGGGAACTGTGGGAAGAGGACCAAGGCCATCTCATAAAGAGTTTTGGCTTTTCTGAAAAAAACAACTCTAATTCTTCTCACACATGCAACATTTTCTTGTTTGCATGGAAGAAGCGTCAACTTGGGAAAGTCTTTACAGGCTTTCCTTCTGTTGTTCAGTTTTAACACTCTTGGCTCACTGCCTCTTCTTTTTCTAAATCCAGTATTTGTAGGAACTTTGCAGCCAGACAATAACATGTGGCCAGAGGGGAGATGAGCAGAGCTCTGTCCAAGTGACCCTGGAGTCCCCAGTGATCTTTCACTCAGTCTGGAAAACTGTGATGATCCAAATGCCATGTTGGAACGTCTGGCTTAAGAACAATTCCTCAGGTGCTTTTATTCTTGCAAGTGGGAACATTTTCAGTTGGGTATTGTGTGGAGGGGGACAGGCAAAGTGCTGTAATTCTGAGCCATAGTCCAGGTGCCTTCAATCTGTCCTCTAAGAAGCTCTTCACTGTGAATTACCTTGATCATCTGTCTTCATTCCACAGGAGCAGCTCAGTGCTCGGTTGGTCTTAAGTCTCAGGAGTTTACACTTTTCAGGAGTGCCTTTTTTGGGGATTTTAGAAACTAAAATCTCTCTGAAATGTTTTTTTCTACTCTTTCATTTAATTTTTTTATGTCCTTCTTTGACTCTTAATGGTGGTTCTTAATTTGGCTCGCAGGGTGTTTTTGGGAAACTTCCCTCCTGAGTGTGCAGGGAGGACGGAAGTAACACCTGCCTGTTCCAGACCACCACAAATCTGAGTGTTTGTGTTTTGCCTGCTCTGGCTCACACAGGGGAGGTGGAATTGGAATGACACCTAGTGGCAAATTGTGGTGTGTCCTTGTCCAAGCACAGCCCTGGCCTCGCTGCTCTTTGAGGGGTAAAGGGAATTAGGGTGGTTTGTCTTTTGGAACTTAGCAGTACTGTGTAAAACAATCCCATCCTTTTGTCCTGGGAGTTTGGCTGCTAAGGGGAGAGAATTACAGCTTCAAAGAATGTGGCCTGTTGGTTCCTTGATTTTTATTATTTTTGTTAAGGGTTATTGGAAAAGAATGTGAAAAAGTCTTCCAGAAACTGCGTTATGGAGTCTAAAGATTCGCATCCAGGTTTTGAGTGTGTAATGTATTTTCCTAAAGCAGCAGTTACCAGTCCATGTTTGATTTACTTCTCACTCAGGCTTCTAAAATCTAAACATCTTTTTAAAAATCTTAACATATCAGCCCAGTGGGGGTAGAAACCACCCTTCCTTCGATACTGAAGAAGTCTGTGCTATTTAACACTGTGATAGCATCCAGATGCTCCTGCTCTGTTGTTCTTGGAAGCACAAGGCTGTATGTGAAGGAAAGCTTGAGAGCCTCGTGAGGAGCTTAAGGCCAGACAAGAGGGCTCAGCCTTGCTGGCTTTGGTAGTGATTTGGAAACCAGCTGCAGTGTAGGGCCTGCTTCACGTGTTTGTTCTGGATGTGATAAACCCTCACGCTCTTCTTTGGAATCTGGGTATTTTCCTCTTTTAGGTGAGATGTTTTCTCTTCTGGTAATTTACACTATTTCTGAGGCCCTGCTCCATTTCTCAGTCCTGTTTTCTACCCCGGTGTTTGGCTGCAGTACTAAGATAGTCAGCTTTTATCTGATGCACAAACTGGAATAGGAATGATGGTTCACTTGGCTGCTGGGCAGCAGCTCTGGGTTTGGCTCTGCAGGAGCTGTGGCAAGTCCAGGGGCAAGGTAGAAGCTTCCAGATGGCGCCTTTGAGGACCTGCAGTGCAGGCTCAGCTCAGGCTGGTACCACGTAGGGCAACTACTGTGTGGCTGTGTCTAATTAGGCTGTGTGGGGCCATATTGTTTTAAGTAATGATGCTGAAGATTCGGGAGGTTTGAGGTGGGATAAATTAAAATCTCAATTGTTTGACTTAATTTAGTTTTCTAAATGATGCAAAGCAACACGGACATTGGCTTCTTTGGCACCAGTGTGAGCCCTAGAATCTGCAGGGAGGTTGGATTGTCCAGGCCTCTCACCCACTCAGCTTTCTCCTGGAAAGTGTCACAAAGTGCCTGTACCACTCAGTGCATGTACCCAGTCCCAATTGCCTTCACCACTCTTGGGAGGGTTTTGGTGCTTTTTTTGACCACTCAGTGTCCTCTTTCACCCTGGATTAAGAGTGCAGCACTCCAAGGCAGGTGCCTGCATGCCAGCTTTGCCTTACTGTGCAGGAAAATTCCCAAAGAAATAAATGTGAACACCAGGGACGTGCTGTGGCAAGCGGCATCACGGAGCTCAGTGCCTTCCACCCTCGGTGTGCCAGGGGCAGCAGGAGCTCTGCCTGGTGACAATTGTCCCCCTCCCACTGTCCCCCCCTGCCTGGTGATACTGCAGATGTGTGATGGGCGAGCTCTGGCTGCTGCTGCAGAGGTCACTGCACCGTTTGTTTGCTGGAATCCCGGAGCAGCTGCGCGGGCCAGCGAGGTGTGTTACAAAGCAGCAGCTCCTGCGCGGACGCCCCGATGCCCTGAGCTTTCCTGTTGCCTTTCACTGCGGAAAGAACCTCCCGGGAAGCCCTCGGGATCGGAGATCTTCCGGCACTCGATGTTATTTTTGGTTGCCCGGTTTCCGGTGCTGGGTTGGAACGGTTTGGAAGCGACTCCGGTCTCATCCAGTCGGTCTGTGTCCCATCCAGTGTCCCCTTCTGTGCCTTGCCTTTCGAGTCCTGGCTTTACTCTAAGGACTGTCCTGTCAGATGAGGTGGGACCCATTGTAATTATTCTGTAATGTTCAAGTTAGAGTGTACAGAATTATTTATTTGTTGTACTCGTTCTGCTAAAACATGTCCATGTATTCTGTGTACCCCATGGCTCTGCTGTCCTTACTTCTGCCTGGTGGATCACCCACGGGCTGGCTGCTGGAAGGCAATTCCAGGCCTGATTTCCAGGCTGGGAATGATGGTCAGTAAGTACATGGAGACCCAGGAGGTGCTCACCCCCTGTTACGTTTGTAGATCACAGCAAGAGGTACCAAAGTGCCCATTAGAGGGTTTGCTGGTTTCTGTAATGCAGCTGCCAGGCCAGGAGCTGCCCAAGGGAGACCTTATGCAGAGCTGGGATGCCCATGGGATGCCCTGGATGAGGCAAGCACTCAGCCTGTTCCTGGAAGGTACAGTTGGGAGGCTGAACAGGCACTTTGGGACATTCTGTTTATTTTTCTTTGGCTGCAAGGTGGTAGACTGGGCCAGAGGAATGCTCTGGTTTGTCCACAGCCACTCACCTCTCCAGTTTTACTCTGAGCAGCTTTTATGGACCAACAGGAAAACTTGTAATATCAAGTGAACAATGCACACCACTCTTGAGATGCTTCCTCTCCAGGATTTTCCAGGGGCAGGGGACCCCATCCCAGTGGTGACAGAGCTGACAGAGAGCTCAGCACACAGACCAGATGACCCATAGTGCTACAGCTGGTCATTCCTGTTTGAAGTTCCCTATAGCCACCAGTTCTCTCTGCCTGCATGGTCCATCTCCACATCTTTGTTCACTTGCCTTTAAGGTCAGTTAGATGCTCCCTGCAGAGCAAACCACTAAAGAAAACTAACTCTTACTGACCACTAAAATTTGTTAGCCCTAGGCTTTACTTGAGCAGATTTGTATTTATTTTAACTCAGTCTTATGGGCCAGACTATGTTTGCCCTCCACTGATGTTCCGTACCCCTTCCCATCAGCGTGTCCCTCTGTAGTGTCACACTCTCTGCTTAATAGAGTGATTTTGGGGGCTGTGATTCACACAACAAAGGTGTTGTATCACCTTCACATCACTGGTAAGGAAAACTAAACCCCACACCTCATGTTGGGACAGTCTGATCCTGTTTCTCTCCACGGTGCCTTATCACCAGCTCTGGGAACTGGAGCTGCTGGGAGCTGGATTGTAGTTCATTGAGCATGTCTTGCTACTCCCATGTCACACAAGACTTTTTTTTTTCCCACCAGCCATTGTGTCAATAACCCATTTGAGTGAAAACCTGTCACCTGGCCTTGGAATTAGTTTTTAGCTTCAGATTTTCCTTTGCAATGGCCTCCAGTTTCCTGCTGTTACCTGGCAGATCTGCAGGGGTGAAGCAGCCTGCTGTTCTCCAGCCATCCCTTTCCACCTTCCCCAGGAGCTGGAGCTGCCCGTGGCACTTCTCCCTTTCTGCTGTGTTCTCAGCTGCCACGCAAGTCATGGCTTTAAACTGCAGGCAGGGATCCTTGGGGATCCTGTGCCCCCACCAACACCCACCTTCCCCTGCAAGCTGAGCAGCTCTTTCTGGTGCTGAGCTGCAGCTCCACAGTCCCTTCCCTGGTGGCACCTCGCTCCTAGCTCAGTGGGAGGACCATTCTCCCATTCAGCCTTCAGCACTGCCTGGATAGGTGCCAGGGTGTGCTTGAAGACCCCCTGAGCAACCCTTGAGCCACAGCCAGCCCTGCTCCCCCTCTTCCTGAGCATCCTGTCCTAGTCTGGCACTTCCTCTGGATCCCAGCTGGGCACCAAGCTCCAGCTCTGAGAAGGAGAGAAGCATGGGGTGCCCCAGGCTCCTCCATGTATCTTCCACCCCCCTCTGCATCATGAGAAGATAGGAGCCAGAGACAGTGCTTGGTACAAACAAAAGCTGGTACTTTATTAATCCCAGTGAAGGGATCACGCTGGCAGCAGCTTTACCCCTGAGCAACGACGGCGTCGATCCAGTTACGGAACTGGCTGACACGAGTGTACATGGCCGGCGTGTTGATGTTGCAGTTGGAGGTTCCCCAGGAGACAATGCCAATCAAGGTCCAGCCATTCCCAGTCTGGTACACCAGAGGTCCACCAGAGTCACCCTGCAGAGAAGATTCCTGCTTAGTGCTCCTGGCACGTGCTCCAAGCTGGTCCCTGCCACCCCAGCCACCTGCACCCCTGCGCACAGCCAGGTGCTGTAGCTTAAATATCTGGCTCCATAGGTGCAAGACCCCATGCACCCTGCTCCTCCACCCTCCCTGTGATGCAATGGGAGCTCAGCAAGACCCCACATATCCTCTTCCTCCTCCACCCACCCTGTGCAGCAGGAGCTTGGCTCCTTACCTGGCAGGAGGTGGCACCAGCCCCACCGGCACAGATCATGGCGCTGGTGATGCGACTGCCCCAGTACTGCATGCACTGGCTCTGGGAGATCAGGGGCACGGTCACCTGCTGCAGGACTGCTGCCAAGGCTTGGGCTAGGGGAAAGAAGCACCATTAGATCACCTCAGTGTCTGTGGGTCTCCTGGAGTGGACACAGGTGTGCTGGGCAAGCTTCCACTGGTGCATGGGAGCTACCATACAACATGCCTTCTTCCCGGGATCACCTCATGCAGGCAGCCCAGAGAAAGGGCAGGCTTGTGCCTGTGCACAGCCATCCCTGGGTTACACACACACCCAGCCCCTGAGCACACACCTGCACCTATGTGCACACTGGTACACACTCAGATAGGGTTACTCCACTGCCCAGCTCCCCCCTTCCCACATGTACAGGAAATGCCACCCCCACAAGCAGCCCTGGACCCTCAGAGCCCCGAAGAAGAACAGCAGCTACACACAGCCCTCCCTGAAGCTGCAGCTTACGTACAGTTGGGGTTGGTGCGTCCCCAGCCGGTGGTGACAGCCCAGGCGTTGGAGGGCAGAACCAGGTTGGCAGGGGCCAGGCAGATTGTGGACACACGGGCTCCCAGCTGGGCGGGCGTGGACAGCCTCAGCAGGGTGATGTCATTGTCCATGGTGTTGGGGTTCCAGCCGGGGTTGGTGATGGCCTGCAGAGAGAGAAGCACTGCAGCCCTTCGTGCCTGCCCTGCGGGAGCAGCCGCGGCGCGGAGCTGCAGCCCCGTCCCAGCAGCGCGCCCGCCTGGCTCACCCTGGACACGGTCTTCACTTGAACGGCCTCGGCGTTGGAAGCGAGGCTGTATTCCCCGAGGACCACAACGTGGGCACGAGGGCTGCGAGAGGTAAGAGGGAGTCAGGGGCACGTGTCCAGCCAGCAGTCCGGGTGGGAGCAGCACTGGGGCAGCCACGGGCATGAGGGACCCAAGGGAAGCCGCCATGGCGACAACGGGGGAGGAAGCCCTGGGCTGCTCAGGCCTTTGGGGGTGACCCGAGTGCCACTCAGAGATGCCCAGGTTGCTCTGAGCCCCTGGCCCTGCCAGTGGCACCGGTGTGGGCTGGCATCACTCCTTACTTGAAGTTGCAGTGGGCAGCTGTGACGACCCAGTACTGGTTGATCAAGGAGCCGCCGCAGAAGTGGGATCCTGTGGTGGTCTGGGGAGGGAAGAGGAGCTGGGGCTGGGCAGGCTCAACACCCCCAAGCTGGGGACAGGCAGAGGTCCCCTTGGTGCCCAGCTGGCTGGCCGTGCCAGTGCTTAGGGCAGTGCCCAGGGAGGGGGACGGTGCTGTACCTGCAGGGACACCTGCCAGGGCCATGAGCCGGGCACAGCATTCTGCCCGTTGACAATCCTCTCGCTGTAGGCCACCGAGGGACTGATGGCAGGCACCCCGCAGCCTGCAGGAGAGGCACAGGGGACAAGGGTGACCCAAAAGCTCAGGACTCATATCTGGGGGCTGCCTGTGCCGGTGTGGGTGGCTGTGTGTCACCCTCCCTGGCATCCTGCTGCACCCTAAGGACCTTCCTACACCCACAGGCAGCACTTACCTGAGACGGCGCTGGCAAGGGCCAGACAGGCAACTACCCACAGGAATGCCATCTTGAAAGGAGATAGACTGAACCCCTGGGGACCACGAGCTTTATAGCAGCCAGGGAGCCACGTGGCTCATAGCTGGCCAGGTTAAGGTCCCCCTGTGGCCTTGTGACAGGTGTGGGCAGCAGTGACGTGCCAAGCCTGGCACACACACAAACAGGGACGTGGGAAGGTACTGTCAAAAGACACCTGGGTGACTTGGGCTTTTTCTGCCATGGGTAGTGTTAGTTCCGACTGCAGCCTGTGGAGCACCACAGGGCTGTAATGGAGGCTGCAAGAGGCTGGTTGTGGGCACACAGCTGGGATAGCAGTGGGGCTGGACATGCTAGGATGGGCACCAGTTCCTGGGGTGGACAGTCATCCTGTGCTCAGACTTGTTTCAGATCTATTGGGACTAGAGCTGTTTTTCCACATGGCCATGAAGTCCTGGCCTGGGCCCACCTGGATGTTCCCAGGGCTCAGGCTTGCACCCTTTGAACCATGTCCGTGGTGCAGGTGAGCAAGTCCCATAGCCAGTGAGGGCAGGTGGGGAGAGCAGACACCTTCTCAGGCAGGTGGGAGCTGTGGCCAGCTGGACAAACACACCATGAGCCCCAGGGAGGACAGTGGGCACCTTCCCAAGCTGAGGTTGAACCCTTCACTGAGCATCCCCCTAGCACTGCAGCCACCTGACCCAGGGCTGGGGAGCATCGGCCCCCTCTGTCCTGGACAATGGGGTATGTAGTGTCTGCATCATCCCCCGTGTCCTGAGTGATCTCCTGGGCTGGCACAGGGTGATGCTGGACATGGGGATGGATCCCTCCCTCTCTGTGCCACTGACATACCCTGATCCCTGCCCCGACCCTCCAGGGAGCAGAGTCTGGACACTGGGGAATGAGTGCAGAGCTTAGGCCTTTATTTCCAGCAGTGGTACCATGCAAGGACAGTGGGATGTGGCCCATCCCAGGGTGGGAAGCACAGCAGAGCATGGAGGTCTCCCAGGGCACTGCAGGGGCTGGGCACAAGGGTGTAGGCAGAGACACAGACTGCTCCTGATCTTCATATGGCACCTGGGAGGAGATGCCAAGGCCTGGGCAGCAGCACAGGATGGAGGGAGAACCAGTGCTCAGGGTGTGCTGCCCATCACGGAGGAACCTTGGAGCAGGACAACACACCAGGCACAACCACGCTCTCCATGCAGCTTGGGAGCCTCCAACTCCAGTCTTCGTCCTGGCAATGAGCCAGAGCCAGGAGTCTGGCAGGTCAGCAGGAACTCAGAGCTGTCCCTTTGTGCCAGCAAGGCTGATGGGACTGTCCAGGGTGAGGAGACCACCTTGTGCTCTTCTCCTCAGCATCCCTGAGCCATGATGAGCTGGCTCAGCTGCTCCCCACTGGCCATGCAGGGCACAGCCTGGTGGAGCAGCAGCACCCAACCCCAGGGCTGAGCCCAGAGTACCTCCCATGGCTGAAACCCTCCTGCCAGCCTGGTCCCAGCAAGGCTCCAGTCTGCCTCAGGGTTGGAATGGTAACAGCTTCCATGGCTGGTGTGGGAATCTTTAAAATCAGAGGGTTTTGGGAAAGCTGGGAAAGTAGGCCTTAGAAACAGAAAGAGCAAAAAAACTTGGAGCTGGCTGGGACACACTGGCTCAGGGGGCTGTCTGGAGATGGGGAAACCCAAATATCTCTGCAACCCCATGGAGATGTGAATTTGTCCCAGCTGCAGATTCCATTCTGCAACTCTTCTTTCTCCTGCAGGCAATGGGCCTGAGCAGCTCTCACTGTCCCAGCAGGCCATCAAAATAGCTACAGGTTGGATTTCCCCCAGTCCAGGTATCCCAGGACTGGTGCTTGCAGGGGACAGTCTTCTCATAGGGCAAGACCAGAGGAGAATGGCCTTTATCCAGACTGTCCCCAGCAGAGGGCAGGTGCTGTGTGTGGGGGATGCCACACGTCACCTCCATTCTCACCACGCACAGCCACCCTGCATGGCCCCTGTGGGACCAGCAGGGCACCAGTGCCAGGCAGGGTCAGGCACACTTGCCCTTGCGAAGGCAGAAGGGCAGCTCCTGCACAGGGACCAGGATGGTGCTGAAGATGGGCCGGTAGCCCTCGGGCAGAGCCTGGGGGTGCTGAGCCATCATTCCCAGCACCATGTGCCGCACTTCCTTGGAGACGTCCCCGCGGATATCCAGCAAGGTGGAGATGTGCTCGTCGCTGGGCAGAGAGCCAGGGGTGAGCCCGAGCACTGCTTGTGTCCTGCAAACCTCCCCCCATCCAGAGGAACCAAGCCAGGGCCAGGGGAAAACTGGTACTTTACACCAGGCCAAGTAGCATTTTCTTGAAAACAATCCCCTCAAACCTTTTGAATTTGGTTTTGACATTTCCAATTTGGTGCTTTGTTACTTTTCACAGTTTGTTTGGCCACCAAATACAGATGTGCAAATACCACAGCATTACTGCTGTTTTCTGTACACCTTTGCCCTTGGGACTTTTAAAGAACCCCTAAAATTTTGAGCATGGGAAAAGGAAACCTCAGGGAGAAAGGGGTAAAGGCTCAGGTTTCTGCCTGCTCTGCTGTGTCACCTCAGAGGGTGCAGCCCAAGACTGGCTCTCCTGAGCAGGCTCACACCTATCCCCTCCTGCAGGGAGTACCTTACCTGACATCGGGGTACTTGGTGATGAAGCCCATCACCTCCAGGCTGAGCAGTGCTGGGTCTTTGAGGCAGATCAGCTCCCGCAGGGCAAAAACAGCCTCCAGGCTCTGCTGGCCCCGCTCCAGGCCCTGGCAGGGAAAGCAGCCAGGTGTGAGACCCAGAGGATGTCACTGCAGTGGCTGGGGAGACAGCTGTGTCCTTAGTGCCCACCAGGGGACCTGAGGCCCTGCAGCTGGTGTCTTCCCATTCAGCATGTCCCACCCATCAGGGGCTGCTGGGCAGGGTGATGATCCCCAGAGTCTCTAATCCAGCCAGGTGGATTATCCTCCCATATTGGCCTCACAACCACTCAAGTGTAACAGCCCCATTTGCTCGTGGGCTGTGGGCTGGAGGGCAGCAGGAGGGTGAGGTGGTGCAGCCCTGGCTCCCCACCGCACCCAGGCTCCTCTCACCAGGCCACAGAAGAGCTCCCGGAGCTGCGTGGCGTCCTGCAGCAGGCGGTGGCACAGCTGGCCCCGCTCCTCCCGGCTCTTGCACACCATCTTCCTCTGCAGGAGTGCCCGCAGGTACTGGTTCACCACCAGGAGCTCGCTCTCCGCCAGCAGGAGCTGGGCAGGGGACAGCTGTTAGTGCCTGGTGTCCAGACCCTGGGTGTCTGCCCAGGGAAAGGCAGAGGCAAAAAGGGTTGATACAACACCAAGCCATGAGAACAATCTACTGGGAAGCCCCCCTGACTGAAGGGACAGAGAAAACAGCTGGATTTGGGGGAAGCCCTGAACATCTCCGTGTGGCGGTGCTCTCTGGACTGCCCCAGAGGACACAGCCTCTCCTGCATCCCCAGACCCTGCACCCCAGCATGGTGCCCGCTGCCCAGCCTCCCTGTCCCACAGACAAGCAGGAGGTACCGTGAACACGGGTTTCCTGACGCGGGAGAAGTCCTTTGCATACTTGTCAATCACTTCACACATGCTGCCGACGAGCTGGGACCCGGAGAGCCACTTGCGGGAAGGCAGCTGCAGGCAGAGGGGCTGGAGGGAGCAGAGGAGCAGTGTCTGTGTCCTGCACCATCACAGAGCTGCCAGCTCAGGGCAGCACAACACCCACAGCTGCTGCCTGGCACCACGGCCACTTTGCCTTGCAAAGCCCCCGAGCCCCATGTAAAAACAGCAGAGTGGTTAAGGTTAGGAAATTATGGAAACACTGGGGCTGTCCCTCCCTGACACCCTGAGAGCCTCATTTTGGGGCTTTATCTGGGTCATGATGCACACCTGAGGTATGGCCAGTGTGCTGCTCCTCACACACCTCCTTTTGGCCTGTCCTGCCTATTTTTAATTTCCACCCCTCCTCACTTCCCTTGTGTAGACATAACATGTTTTTTGATTTCCTACTCCCGCCCTGCTGTCCTTGCCTGTCTTCCTGCTTGCAGGCACACACTCCTTCTGTCTTGGCTAGGGCCACTGTTGCCTGCAAGCTCCTCACCCTTTGGCTCTTCCTTTGTTTTCATGGCATTCAAGCCCTAAATAGTAATGTCGTTAATTATTCCAGGTTTTGGTTCAGACTCCAGGAAAGCTAAATTTGACTACACTAGCAGGAAACTACTTGGGCAGTTGCACATGGATTCATATCCTTCACACAGACTTTGCTGCTCTCCGGCTGGTTTTCTGCCATGGAGGAGCCAGAAGGAGCGTGAGGCAGCTCGGGGGGGCTAAGGCTCCTGGGCTCTGTCCGTTAGTGATTTGGGGCCATGAGCCATCTGCCCCAGCGATACGGGGTGGTGCTGCTGGTGACAGACATCGGGTGGTTTATCAAGGTCTGGGGGACAGGCTTGCAGAGATGTCTGCAGGGTGATAGCAGGGTGCAGAGCACACGGCAGGGACCCTGGGCAGGAATAAACTCGAGTTGCAGTAGGGCTGTTATTGCTGGCTTCAGCTTTGTTGCAGCCCTGTCGGCCTCAGGTGCTGGACCAACATACCTGCAGGTCCAGGAGCAGTTCCTCCAGCAGCAGCTGGGTGGCTTTCTTCTGCATCCTGTCTAGAGCAGTCTGCAGGGATCCAGGGACTTCTCTGCAGGCAGTGTCAGGGTGCAGGGAGGAGACAGAATTGCTAGGAGAGAGAAGAGAGGGCACAGGTAGCCTGGGAAGCATAGTGGGAACACTGGCCCCAGGGAGGATGGGGGTGGGTGTTGCTACAAGAGCTACCAGGTGCTGGTGCAGGTTACCTGAGGGCCAGGTTGTTGTTGAGCACGGCCAGCAGGTGGGGGATGTAGTACTTGGGAACAGCCCGGTCCTGCTGGTGCTCCTTCCCGCACTGCACCAGGGCTTCCCGCAGGCTGCAACACAGCGAGGCAGCCGTGAGGGGCAGGCAGAGCCATCACGGGGACCTGGCCCTGGGATGCTCCTGGGGACACATGGACCTTCCACAACCCTCCCAGCTCACTTGGCTTCTTTCAGATCCTTCCACCAGGTTGGAGAGGGACAGGTCGTTGGGCAGGGTGGGACAGTGGGACCCATTCTGGACCCCCTTGGGAGGGCTCGCAGACAAGCATTAGGGGCAGCAGGCCCTAGTCTGAGAGCTGATACCCCCAAAGGCTGAGACAGCAGCCCCATGGGTAGAGAGGCTGCTGAGCCTTCTGTGACCTGGATGAGCATTGGGTGCCCCACAGCAGATCTCCACCCCCAGCCTGTGATGTTTAGCCATGGCCCCAGGGTCTGTGAGGGTGGGCAGAGGTGTGAATGGCTCCACTGACCGGCCCAGGAATGCCTCAAGCTCCTCCAAGGCCATGTTGTAGATCTTCTGCTGCAGAGAGTCAGTGATCAAGGAAGCCACCTGGATGTTCTCATTCAGCATCTGCAGCACAAGAGCAAAGTGGAGGTGATTCAGGAAGAGCCTGCAGGCCATGGACTCCTTTCTGGGAGGTCTCAGCATGGCCATGCCCCATCTGTACCCCTGTTCTTGGGGTCCCACCTGCATGACAATGGCAGGCAAGGCTGACTGGAAGAAGCCCTGATGGTCTGTCTCAGGTTCCTCTTCCCTGAACCATTCCTTGAACTCCACCTCCAGGGTCCTCTGCATCCACTCGAACACACTAGCCTGCAGGATGGACACCCACCACTGGCAGCCCAAGAAGTACAGACTCCCTTGAGACACAACAGAGCACAGAGAGTCCTGGGCCTCATCCCAGGCTCATGGTCCCTGTCAGAGAAGATGCTTGGCTCAGTGGGAGTCATTGGGTCCCTGTCCTGCTCACTCACCTTGACTTTCATCACATATCTCCTCTCTGTCTGATCCACAAGCTCAGAGGACATCAAGGGATCCAGAGCAGAAACATCCACTTCTGGGAGGAGGTCAGGGTGACCCATCATCTCTGGGCTGGAGGGCAGAGGTGGGGCAGGGTTGGGAAGGCCTGTTTTCCAGGAGTTCCTACCTGTCCCTCTGCCCTCCTGGTCACCATCCCCTGGCAGCCAGAGACACTCTCCCAACCCATCCATGAGCTGGTGAACAACCCAGCTCTCCACACCATCTCTCACTTGGCTGGTGCCGGGGCTGGTGCTGACCTGTGGTACACACGGAGCGCCCACTCAAGGAGAAGGAAGAGTCCCTGTTTGTCCAGGTCCTCCCGCAGGATCTCCTGGAGGTGGCTGGTGAGGGCCTGGTGGTAGGTGGCAGTGCAGACGCTGAGGATGTTGTAGTGAGCTGGGACACACTGCACCATCAGGTCCTTCACCACACGCAGCTCAGACACGATGTCCTTCTGCAGCGCTGCCAGGTGCTTGGCCAGCCCTGGTCCCTCAGCATCCATGCGGGGAGCATGGAAACGGGCTCCTGTGATGGTGTCCTGGAGGACCTGGTAGAACTTCTGCCTCCAGCCCTTTGGGCGGCCGGGGGGCAGGAAGGTGGCCTCCAAGAGCAGAGTGTCATCTATTTTCTCCTCCCGCTCGATGATCCTGACAGCAGTGACAAAGAGAACGGGGTCCTCGCGCACCAGCCGCAGGCTGCTGCCCACAATGTCCCACAGCTGCTTGGCCAGGCTCTCGTTGAGGTCCTGCAGGCCACTGAAGTAGGACAGCACAGTTGCCTGGGCACCAGAGAGCCCACGGAGGTGCAGCTGGGAGAGGATGTCATCCCGGAGTTGCTCCACCATCATGAGCTCCACGTGGGCCTCCAAGAGATGCTGCCCGTGGAGCAGCTGCAGGATATGGGAAAAAACCTCGTGGACTGTGGGAGAGGGAGGAGAGATGCCAGCACTGAGTGTGGAGATGAAGGGGTTTGCACCAGGGACATAGATGCAGGTTATCAAGGAGATGGTGAGGGGAAAGGTCTGGGGCTCTGGGAATACCACTGGATCAGGCCCTGGGGAAGCAGGGATATCTCCATTCACCCAGCTGGCAAAGCCTGAGTGACCTGCTCAGGCTTTACCACCAGCCCTGCACAGAACCCATGGTTGAACTGAGGTTTCCCCCAGTGCTTTTCAGCCCAAATTGATCAGGACTGGGCCACTGCCTTACCTGAGAAGATCTGGGGCAGCACCTGGACCACCGAGGCCAGCTGCACGTGCTCCTCCATCAGCTTCCTCATCTGCTGGAGGCCCTGGAAGTGGTCTGCGCTGTCGAGCAGGGCCCACCGTGCAGCCCCCAGGTCCTGGCACACGCCCTGCACCTCCTGGGCCGCCGACCGCAGCTGCTCCAGCCCTGCACTTACCCCCTCCAGGTAGGACTGGACAGTTGACTGGGGAGCAGAAAAGGACGGAGGGCAGTGGAGCAGCTCCAGGAGGCAGCAGGACTCCACACCATTGGCCCCAGCCCTGCACGATCTGATTGCAGGCACTCTCCCAGCCCCACAAGGCTCAGGGTAAACAGTAATCAGATGTCTCTTTCAGTTTTTAAAGATTACTTTGTTTCTGCAAAAGAGCAGTGGGTCACAGGGCCCCTATGTGCCCCCAAGGCATGAAGGACCTCAGTGGCCATATAAACCCTCCTCCCAAATGGAGTGCCATCATTTCCAGCCCTGCAGTGGCACTGGCACATCTCCGTGCCTTATTCACTGATTTAATTCCCTGCTCCTGGTGCCAAAAATCACCAGAAATAAGTTGCTTTCACTGAGGCCTCCCAGGCAATTCATCCAGAGTCAGGACAGGAGAAACCATCTCTAAAATTATCAGGAGAAAGTTGTGGTGCTCAGACTGATTCAGTCCTGAGGTAATAATTCCTTGGGTCATGCAGAAGGGGATGTGGGTGAGAAGGCAGGAGTGCAGGGGGACTGGGACAGCCCTTACAAATACATAGAGATGGTGTTTTCCCTGTGCAGACCCACAGACAGGGACAGGTTGGAGCTCTGTGCCTCCTCCCAGCCGTGGGACAGGGCAGCCTTTGGGGCTGGGACAGGGCAGTGATGGGGTGTGCTGAGTCCTGCACATGGAATGTGCTGAGCCCCCTTGGTGTTTTATTTTGAAGGATTATCAGAGACACAGAAGACTCCTTTTATCACTTCAGACACTGCCTGGGGGTAAGGTAGAGGGTGGAGGGGGTCCTCTCCCCCCAGCAATTGCACTTCACCCACCAAACACCAGTCAAAGGAAAAGATTTAGTCAAAAAAGGACATACAGAGGATTCGTGGGGCAAGAGGAGACCTGGCTGGGATCCCTGCTTGAGGAGGGGGTGTGGCTGCAAGTGTCCGTGGGATGGGCAAACACACACCTTCAGCCGGGACTGGATGGAGTTGTTCCTCTGCGTCTCTCGTCTCCGGTAATGCCCAAGCCCCTCCAGTTTCTCGGGGCGGTAAAACACCCCTGAAGCCCATTTCAGAGCGGCTCCTCTCGCCAGCTTCTCAGCCTTCTCTGCTTCCGGCCACTCCTCGTCTGGGGATGAAGCCAGGGGTCAGTGAGCACAACCAAGTGGGGCAGGAAGGGCCCCTGAGGCCAGAGGCAGGAAGCTCGCCGCCAGTGGACTTCCAAGCACACACGGACGTGGGAAGCTGGGCAGCATGGCACCAAGAGGGTCCTTCTGCAAGGGGCCCCCTAGATGCCACCACCACGGGGTGGCACAGTGGCTGTGGCAGCAAGAAACAAAGCTGCTCCGGGGTGCTGTGACTCAGCCTGCCAGATCAGATTGTCCCCAGGCCGAGTGCACATCCCGGCTGCTCCCCCAGACGCAATGCTGGGTTGTCTGCATTGAGGGGGTCTGATGCCACTTGGGAAGCTGTCAGCAGGGTTGAGACTCCAGCAGTGAGTCAGCAGGAGGGATGGGGAGATGGCAGCTCTCACAGGAAGGAGAGCCAGGCTAAGGTGAGGATTGCAGACTCCTGGTCTCCTCAAAGCACCCACGCAGCTGTGTCCCCCTTGACACAGGGTGTGAAGCCATGCCAAAGAGCTCCTGGCCGTAGTGGAGGGCTGAGAACCAGCACAGTTATTACACTGGGACTATTCCCAGTCCCCAGTGCCTGGTTTCATCATTCTCCCACCCTATCCCATCCCCAGCCACTCCCTGCAGCCCCGCAGGGCTGTCACCCAGTGCCAAGCCAGGCTCCTGCCCTGCTGGGGAGTCGCTGGCTGCCTTGGGGACCAGGGGATTAGGGAGGAGGACAGCAGCTTTGAGGATAAGATGAGCGGTGAGCAGTACTGCCCCGGCGCAGGTATCACCATCAGGAAGCACAGCCAGGCTGCCAAACAGCCAAGGACACAAGGCACCAGCCCCGGCACAGGGAAAAGGTCCGGGAGGGTGGAGGGGGTGGTGAGGCAAAGGGCGGGGGAATCCCCAAAACGTGCTGCAAGCAGCAGCATCCCTTCCTTTCCCTGCCCAGCTCGCCGGCTCCCCGTGGAGCATCATCCCCGTTACCTCTGGGGCTGGCGGCGCTCTCGTCCTCCGCAGACATGCCCATGGTGTCCAGGCTGCGCGGAGCTGCGGGGCCAGGGCAGGGCTGCGGAGGAAGCCGGCTGCCGTTTCCTCAGCCGGAGCAGCCGCGCTCCTCAGGGCCTCATTGTGTTCCCGCAGCCGCGCTCAGGACGTCAGGAACGGGGGGCGGAGGGGAGGGGGGACACGGGAAGGCACCGCGACAGCCGGAGGTCTGGGGAATAGGAGTCACGGAATCAAAGGAGCGTTTAGGTCGGAAAAGCCCTCTAAAATAATCGAGTACCAACCGTTAACTGGCAAGCCCACCACTAAATCATGTTCCTAAGTGACACATCCACACGCCTTTTTAACGTGTCCAGGGATGGTGACTTCACCACTGCCCCGGGCAACATTTTTCAGTGCCTGACCATTCTCTTAATGAAGAAATTTCCCCTAATATCCAATCTAACCCTCTCCTGACTCAACCTGTGGCCATTTCCTCTCGTCCTGGAGATCACACCCTGTCTACCTTCACCGGCACCCCCCGTTCTCCGGACACTCAGCGCTGTCCGTGCCCGCAGCGCTGCCCCCTCGCACCCACCCTGGCTCGGGGAGGACAGCGGGGTGTCGCAGCCCAGCCCACCCACAGTCCGAGCCCACTCGAGGGTGGATCCACCATGAAGGGGTGCGCTGTGCCAGCCTGACCCGGAGGCGAGAACGTGGGGATGCACCCTCCATGGCTGCGGATGGACCTGGAGATGTGTCCCTGCCACAGGCTGCCTTCCCCGGGCACAGGCTGGAGGATTCCCCCGGCACTGGCTGTGCTGGAGCAGCAAACCTCCCCTGTCAGCGGGGCGGTGAGAGCTGCGTACATGGCTGAGGTTTGGCTTCGGTACCACAGGGCGGGAGTTTGACTTTGGCACCGCAGAACGGCGACGGGATGGACGCACCCCTGGATTGACCCGGGGGACCCCCAAACCGAGGGGCTGACGGAACAGCGGGAGCAAAGCGGAACAACTCCGTAGCCCCGGGAGGCGGTGGGGGGGAGTCCCCCGTCCCCGCCCCGCCGCCGTCCCCGCCCCGGAGGTTCCCGGGGAGCCCCGCGGCCCGGAAGCGGATGCGCGGCCCCGGAGCCGGCGGCGGGCAGATGGCGGAGTGCGGGGCGCAGCCCCCCGGGGGTGGCAGCGGGGCTGCGGGCGCGCCCAGCCGGCACGAGAAGAGCCTGGGGCTGCTGACCACCAAGTTCGTGTCGCTGCTGCAGGAGGCCAAGGACGGCGTGCTCGACCTCAAGCTGGTGCGGGGGCAGGCGGCGGGGGGCGAGGGCTCCCCGGCCCGGGGGTGGGCTCGGAGGGAGCGGCCGCCGGCTGAGGGGGGCTCCGGCGGGACCGGTGCTCCGGCGGCTGGGGCGGGTTTGGAGCGGGAGAACGGGGACATGGCAGCGCCCGGTGCAGCAGGTGGTTTAGGCTGGATTCCAGCAAAACCTTCACTGCAAGAGTGGTGAGGCACTGGTGGAATGGGCTACCCAGGGCAGCGGTGGAGTCCCTGTCCCTGGTCAGAAGGGTGCTGGATGTCGTGCTTAGGGACGTGGGTCAGTGGTGAGGTTTAGTGGCTGGGATCGATGATCCTGGAGGCTTTTCCCGCTGTACGGATCCTCTGTTTCTAGGTGCACGGAAAGCGGGGTTCCTGGGGTGCGGCAGAGCTGCCGGCCGTGCACAGAGGGCTCTGCATGGGCCGCCCTCACAGCCCCTCCTGCTCCTCCTTCCCAGCCCTTCTCCCCATCCCATCGGGTTGTCCTGGGCACTCTTCTTTCCCCAGGACCTTGCCATACGTTGCAGGTGTTTGTTTTCTTTGGTTGCAGAACCGTTTGATCACCTTTGTTCTGTTCTGTGTTCTTGCCCTGTACTTGATGACTGGCACCAAAGCCTCAGACATCTACAGAAACACATACCTATAGAAACTGTCCGTACAGCACTTAACCCTCCAGGAGGGGGAGTGTGGTCACAGTCACCTGCCAGATGTTGTCCCCCATGCCTTTAGGCAGTGGAGAAGTGCTGCGTGAATGCATCTTGCTTCTGTATTTTTGAGATCTTCACCTGGAGGAAGTAACACTGTGCAATGTATAGTACTGAATCTCTGGCCTTTCCTGTAGGGGAAGTTCCTTTGCTGTGGTTTATATAATCATCTCTTATGTGGGCACGTGTGTGAGACAGACAAGTGCCAGAAAGCCCCAATAATGCAGGGGTGGAGGAGTTTCCTGGCTCCATGCCTGTGCCAAATTGTTTTCTCATTGGATTTGACAATATATTTGTGCTTCAAATGTCCATTAAAGGAGTTTGTGTTGGTCAGTGTGATTTATGTAGTTGTATGGCATAGAGTCTCCAAAGTCCTCGCCCCTCACTGATGGATGACAGGGACATGGTTCCTGTGCTGACCTGCTCTGTCTGCACTGCCACTAACATAGTTGGTCCTGGCTGTGCACACATTAACTCTTGCTGGTGGCAGGTTGCTGTGTGGTAGTGGAAACAGTGCCATTCCTTGAAATCTGAGAGGAAAAGGGTCGTGTGAGCAAGGCAGGGAAGCCCCAGCCTTGCTCATGGTTACTCTCCACCTGGAGTCATGTCATTCAAACAGAGGAATCTTTTGAAAAGATATTGATTCTTTGTCAAATGGTGTCAGATCAGCTTTAGAAAAGACTTTGTGAATGTTGATTTCACTGAAGTGTTGCACAGACAGATCTCAGCATTTCCCTTCCCATCTCCAGCTCTACCTTGAGGGAGCACTGAATTTTTAGGCTGCTGAACTACCGTTTTCTAGCACTGCTTTGCTACTGGAGAGTGGTGATTTTTGCATCCACTGTGAGCAGTAGTGTTGGAATTTGGCTTCTGTTTAGTGGGGAGGCTGTGGGGTAAGAAAAAAAGAAGAATGAGTGACTTCTTCTCATGGTCATATGAGATCAAGAACATGGCTGTGTAACTTGAAACGCTGGAACAGGAGAGGTATGAAATAGGGAGCAAAGTAATTGGCCAGGAGTTCATCTGCCAGGCAGAAAGGAGCTAAACATGGCTGAGAGTTTGGAACTAATGTCTTAACCTTTTTCAGGCTGCAGATACCTTGGCTGTGCGACAGAAGCGACGGATCTACGATATCACAAATGTCCTGGAAGGCATCGGGTTGATTGAGAAGAAGTCCAAGAACAGTATCCAGTGGAAGTGAGTGGCAGAGATGGTCTAAATCATTCACAGGTCCCTTCCAGTGCAGGTTTAAGTGACAGTGGGATTAAAATGCTGTGTGCAGAGGGAGGTTCCTCAGTCGTCCATGCTCGTGCCTCCCCCAGCTGGGCTGTGCTGATGGCACAGTGAGGAAAGCTGAAGTATGTGTGGTGTCTCTCTTACAGCAAAGGTGTTATTTTGGTGCAGACTAAATATTTGCACTGCCTTGGTCTAGAAAAGATACCTGTCATGGTACTGCAGGTGGGGGAAGAGTCCTGCTAGACTGTGGGAAGTAGAAAGGTGTACCAAACACCATTGCTGTGCTGGGAGGTGGGGATCTAGAGTGGGTGCAGAGATGGCTTTCCAGGCAGTCTGGCATTGATGTTTGACACAGGTGGGAATAAGAGGCTGGCAGAGAGGTTGGGGTTGGTCTGGGTGTCTCCAGGGTTGATATATCTCACCCATTTTTGCTTTACCCAGGGGGGTGGGTCCTGGCTGCAACACACGTGAAATAGCTCACAAACTGATCGAGCTGAAGGCAGACATTGAGGACTTGGAGCAGCGGGAACAGGAGCTGGAGCAGCAGAAGATGTGGGTTCAGCAGAGCATCAAAAATGTTACAGAAGACATGCAGAACAGTCGATATCCTTTGTGTGAACTGATGGCTCTGTCTCCGTGTTCACCTGGTGGGCTGGGAAGCAGAGACCTGAGGGCTTGGTGGGTGCTGACCTGTTGCTGCTGGAGAAGCTGCACTGAAAGGGTCAAAAGGCAGCACCTTGGCTTGAAATTAGGGTAACTGTCCAACCTGGAGACCTGCTTTTCTCTGCATCCAGCTCCTCCTCTGGCTTTTGGAAGTAAAAAACATAGTAATGTTTACCACAGTGAGAAAAGTGCTTCTTTCTGAGTCACAGGTGCCACTTTCCTGAGCGCAGAGCAGCTTTTGTGGCTTAACTATCTCAGGATGTCAGCTCTGACAGGCATGGAGCTTGCAGACCTCACCTGCAGACCACTTCAGAGTGTGGCATGGAGAGCCTTCTGGGAATGGTGTTCCTTGTGCTCAGGAAGGAAACACCAGGTGCCCTTTGAGCTCTCTGTGTGTGCAGGAAGCTGCAGCCTTTGTCCTTAACCTTGAGAACATTAGCATATGTGACACATGAAGATATCTGCAAGTGCTTCACAGGTGAGAAAATGCTCATTTTCAGTGAGGTGCTCCATTGCAAAGATGTGATGGTGCAGGCCTGTCAGTCTGTCCCAGCTGCTCTCCTTTCTCCAAGAAAGAATAGGCAGCAGACTGTGGGCTGGCCAACAGCATCAAGTGAAATGTAATGTCAGCTCTGATGCTGTTCTGGATTTGTGTACCACTGAGTTGTAGCTTTCTTGTCTCCATTAGAGGGGACAGGCCATATCTTTTACTTGTGCTTAAAGGAATAGAGATGCTGCTCCTAACAAAGTCTTCTTGCTGGGTTTCACTGTTGGGTGAATGTGTGTTGTGTTAGAAGCCCTTCATTTTAAGGGCTTGGGTAGGCAGTGTTCTAATAAGAGGAAACAAATTTTATTTCGCAGTAGAAACCATGGTATAAGCAGAGAAATAGTATTAAAGGTGGTCCCTCAGCTGCATCAATTCCCCTGCCAACAAGAATGCAGGAAGGAGACAGCAGAGGACAGAAGGGAATGCACCAGTTTCTCTGCTCTCACTCCCTTCATTCCTAAAGTTGGGGGGGGCCTGTATCAGAAGTCCTATGTTCTGTCCCTGGGCAAAAGTGAAGAAAACCCACAGGAGCCTTTGTTTCTTCTGCTGCCACTTCTAATGACAGGTGTAAGACCAGATTAATGCCTGGTGGCCAGCAGGCAGTGGGGCAGCCTCAGTACATAAACTGCTCTTCCCAGCTGTAGTGGTGTGGACTCGCAGCTCCTTTCTGCTTCAGTGGGTGCCTGACCTCTCCTGACCTGGCAACCTGCTTCTGCTTGGTGGCTGCAGAGATTGAAGCTGTTTATCCTGGCTGCCTCCAGCCATGCATAAGCTCACCTGTGTCTGGCTCTCCTCATCTCCTCCAAGCACTTTTCTCACCCTGCACTTCATCAGCTCCTCTGTTTGCTGTCACTGCCTTTGGCTTTCCCTGTTCACCAAGTTGCTGCTGGTGTAACGGCTGCATCACCACCCCTTTGGCTTTGCTGTTCCTTCTGTTGAAGCTGCACTTTTGGGGGCAGGGACTGTGTTTTCAGTTTGACAGTGCTGGGGGCCAGATCACTCGTAACAGTCTGGAAGAGTTTACTGGAGACCAGCAGACAGCTCATTGCTTGGCTGGTTGAGTGTTTTGCATTTCATTGCACCTGGTTTTTGTAAATCACTTGGTGTTTGAGGTCAGACCTCACCAAAACATGCAGAGATTAGATCTTACTGAGGGTGGGTGTCAGTTCCCTCTAGAATTGAGGCTTTCATCCATGGTTTTCCATTGCCTGTCCAGTTTTCCTGTATAAATATGCCTTACAGACTCATTTTCCTCCTCTGAGCACCTGAGCCTTACAGAGCTTCTTTGGTTGGACCTCTTGTGTTCTCAAACTGTGGTGCAGGCAGAATTTCAGCTCTTGGTTTTTCTAACTGACTGCTATTGAACTTGCTTGCTCCAAGATTTCCATTCTTGGACTCTTGTCAAATAGAGATTAATTAAAAAAGAAAGAAGTAAGAATATGTCAGTTTTTAGTGGGAAACTTAATTTCTGCATCTGTTGCTGTGAAGCATTTTGCACTTGCAGATTCAAAAAGGAAGTGGAAACCCACTGGGTGCTGTTTTGTAGAAGTATTTGGGACATTATATCAAAGGAGTTACAAACCC